GGTCCCTCCAGTGGATGCAACCATCCTCCCAATTGTACTACGTACGAGTCTTCCTGAAGCGAACATTTGGAGCCACCACCACCACAAGAAACTTTGGTTAAGCAGCTGGCGCAGCCTTGCCAGCTAAAACATCTTTCGCTGACAAGCTGACGCGAGGCAACCAAGAAGTTGGCGGAACGAACGGATGCTGGACTTCACAACGGGGAAGGTGGGCGCGCAATGCTCGCGCAAGCCATTCAAAGATCAAGCAGAGGTGCAGAGGTAGGTGTTGCTGCTAGAAATACAATCATGAAATGGCTAACTTCCTTTGAAGCATGGCTCCTGCAAGTGGCAGTGCAAGCCTTTCCGCAGCCTGCAGCTCTCCGAAGAAACAATCGCGTGGCCGCCAACTCACGGAATAGCCTGGGTCGCAAGACTCTTTTTGGCGTTTGCATGCAGTGTCTCAATTAAAAACGGTCCTTCAGATTCTCAAGGCCGCTTACCTTGGACCCATGCCCTCATGCCATGCAAAGCCGGAGTCGTCAGCTACCGTGATTGTGGACACCCTCATTTGTGCTAGTATCTAAACTCCCTATCTATCCCCCTCATCGGACCCTGTTTCATCCCCTCATTCCGCCTGAAGGAGTTCACAGGATGGCTTGTTTGGGCCGAGGCGCGCGCACCGCGCCGGCCGCAGACTGCACCACTACCAGCGACCATTGCTTACTTAATCTCCTTGAATCGAAAGGGGTTGTAAAGGGCACTATGCAGGGTTTCGGATATAGGGCTCAGTAATGGGTAACGAAGGCGTGAAGATCTCAAACTATTTCAACAACCACTGTCAAGGGAGACAAGTCAAACTACCAGTTTCCAGGGAGCTCAAACTGAAACAGATTACTACACACTAAGCCGTGAACTCTACATATTCTGTATGTCATGCGCTGTGGTTTGGGTCCAGCTGACATGAGTGAGCACGGCTGCGGCAAGCGCACACAAGCCAGCGACAATCCCGTCGACTTGTATCCGGTGCCTGGAAAAACAAGGTCTAGCAACATGCTGAATCTAGTTCCGACCTCGCGCAGGTGCACGTCATTTCGGGTGAGCGACGTTTGCTGCGGCTGCCGTGCGGCTTTGGTGATCGGACAACATGCTTCATTGGGCCGCAATGTTCACAAAATGGCCGCAATCTGCGAATGCCCAAATTGTTCTGCAAGCTCCTTATCGAGGCGCTCCGCATGGGCTCCTGCCTTCAGCAAGGCCTTGACCACCTGCAAATGGTCTTGAAGCACAGCCCATCTAAGGGCTGTGAAGCCATCAGCACTGCGGGCGTCAATCTGGGCTCCATCCAGCAGTAATGCCAAAAGCACCTCTAGGCGGCCATTGGCTGCAGCCTTCACGAGGGCAGTGTTGCCATTCTCATCGCGACTCTCCAGCTCGGCTCCCGCCTTCACCAAAGCCTCAACAACCCTCAGGTGGCCATATGCTGCAGCGACAGTGAGAGCTGTGCCCAGCTGGGCGCCGGCTTTGATCAAGACCTCGGCCACCTCCAAATCGTTGTACATTGCAGCGTACATGAGGGCTGTGTTGCCATCCCGATCGCGGGCCTCCAGCTGGGCTCCGGCCCTCGCCAGAAAATCGACAGCATGTGCAGGGCCCTGGATTGCAGCAGAGATGAGGGCTGTGCGCCCTTTGTCATCTCGGGCTTCCAGCGGAACTCCGGCCTTCGGCAACGCCTTGAGCACCTTCACCTGACCCTGCTTCGCAATAGCGATGAGGCAATTTGCATCGCAGGCCTCCGGCTCTGCTCCTTCCAGCACCAACGACCTGACTACGTTCAGGTGGCCCCTCGTTGCAGCCACTGTGAGGGCTGTTTCGCCGACGTCACTGCGGGCCTCCAGCTGGGCTCCGGCCCTCAGCAACGCCTCGACCACCTCCAGGTGGCCTCTATCGGAAGCACACATGAGGGCTGTGTGGCCCAGCCGGTCCGGAGAGCTCGGATCCGCATTCTGGTGAAGAAGTTGCTCCGCACTGGTGTGTCCCCCTCTCCAATTATAAGTAATGGCCTCCGCCAACAGGTGCTGCTCCCCATCTTTCAGGTGTTGGCGGAACGTCATGAGCTTGGAAAGACGTGTGTCGGTGTGGAATGCCAATTTGTAACCCGAGCTTGACAGTTTGTCGGCGAGGGCCACCTCCTCTCGGTTTCGGATGAGCTCAGAAGTGGCAAAGGCTGCGAATTGTGGGCTCGCGACCTGGCAACAAAGCGCTTAAGCAAAGCGAAGCGACGGGCGCCGCTAGCTCTGGAAACTCGGCCCTACGACCGGCGCCTGGCGGAGCTCTTGGTCCAAATGGTCCTGCAACTCCTTGGCCTCCGGAGGCGGAATGCGGCGACACAAACACTCTCTGTCTGGACGAAAGAAGCTCTCAGCTCTGGATGTTTCAGGGTCAATCTTAAGGTCCCTTTCAGGCCTTGACCAGCTTCTCCACGTGCTCTGCCAAAGCCTCATCCAGGCTGCAAGCGCCCGAGCAGTCGATGCACTGCCACCGGAGCCGTGACCTCATCGCGAAGGCTTCCGGGCTCCAGTTGGTCATGGACTTGGCCCAAGAGGGCAGGCGGGAGAGGAGCCGCTTCTGCAACGCTGGGCTGGTCTGGTCACAGGTGCCCATGAGGTCCACAACCATCACCTTCGGAGACCAGAACCCGAGGCCCCAGGCTGCGATCCCCACCGTTGGGATTTCATGGGTGGACAGCACGGACTGCGACAAGCTACGCTCACCTGCGATCTTCTTGTTGACCAGTGCGATGACGGTTCCCTGTGCCCTTTCGCGCATCCCGAGCACGAAGCTCATGCTGGCGATGGACCACATGTTGCCTGCAAGCGCATTGGTCTGGGGCTCCTTGTAGCAGGCGTCGAGGTTCGCGCTCGCCTCAATGGCTCGGCCCAAGAAGCTGTTCGGGTGCACGGTCGCGTGCTCTATGGCCTTGGCAAAGTTGGAGAGCACTGTCTGCGTCGCGCGGTTCTCGGGGTCGCCGTCCCAGAAACCAGCCCAAAGCAGTGCATGTTGAACAGTTTTGGTCAGTTCCACTAGCCAGCTCCTCAGAAAGGAGAGCGCTTGATATCGACGGAGCTTTTCGCCGGCCACATCCACGGAAGCTACAGCATCTCTGGAGACACGCAGGGTTTCCACCAATTCGTTTCCCAACGCGAAGATGTCGCTGACGCTCTCAGCGCACGTCTTGTTTGGAAGGGCCGGGTAGTAGTCGAGAAGCCAGTCAGCTTTCGGCTGCAAGCCTTCGCATGCAAGGGTGAGAACGTTCATTAGGCCCCCCAGCTGCTGGTGGCAAGCGGTTGCGCTGGCGCTCTGCCAGTCCTCTCTGATGTTGGCAATCCGCTCTCGAAGCGTCTGCTCTTGTGCATCGGCATCGCTGGGGGGCTCTTCTCCGGTAGCCTCAGCTGCACTGGTCCTCGCCAGCACTTCTTTCAGCAGTTCCTGAAGCTCCTCAGCCGAGCTCGTGGGGTGCTCTTCCCACGGAAGCCAGGGCGAGGGCGTGTCCGAATCGCTCTTTGACCGGATCCCGGCTGCAAGGGCGATCAAAAGGAAGCCAACCAGGAGCACTGGCACCATCACGGACGGATCCTACATGGAAGATTGTAAATATGCCAAAAACAACGAGTCGCTGGGAGCACAGTGCTCTGCAGAACATGCAGCTAAAGCATCCGACTGAAAATGGCACATCACCTCGCAACGAAACAGCCGATGCCTCTGCAGATGGGGGTTGTGGCCATCGAAAGCCTGCAATGAGCATGGTGACGTCAAGATGCTTGTGCTGGACACCGGTCCAGTCACCCGTGCGCCATACTCCCAATGCCCAGCGGCCTCTGGCGGTATACACCTGCCCTACCGAAGTACTCGGCACCGCTCTGATATAGCTGGATGTTGCTGGTATGTCTGTTTGCCCCCCTTTGCAGCTTGGTCCGTACCATGGGTCTTGCACTGTCTTCCTAGGTCATCTAGGTCGTTGTCGATCTTCTCGGGGATGCCCTTTTTGTTGCTTCCCTCTCCCTCTGTCGCTCGTTCTCTCCTTGCATCTCCTTGCTGATTGATGTGCAGATACACTCACTGTTAAATGGCTACATGGTAGACAGCTGCATTGATTCCCATAGATGGATCTGCGCACGAATATCTTCTGTCTCCAAAACGCTCCGGCAACAGCGACAAATTCTGCAATCGTTCAAGACTCGTCCACACATGCAGGATTTAACATGCCTGGATGGGCGTGGCCCACTTTCCAGTCAGGTTTCCATGGCGGATTCGGCTGCTGGAACTTCAACACGACTGTGACGGCGGAGAAGCTGCTTCTAAGCCATCGTCAGCGGGGTACCCCGACTTTGTACCATGCTTTACTTCCAGCAAATCAACAAGCTGTGCTAAAGTCGATTTGTAGAGCCGTCGCTGGCATAGGGCGGAACTCTAGGTCGCAAAACCGCAGGCTTCTTCTCAGACCCAGCGGCGGTGTGGTGAACAGGACTTGAACCGGTGATCTGAGCCGCACCAAGCGATGGCTGACTCCAGTCGCACCACGCTCTCCTGTTCACCTCAGGCTGACTCCACCGGAATACAAGTCACATCTTTTGTGCATTTTCTCACCGCGTGTTGGCCCGACGACGCTTTGCATCTTCTGCCACCACCGCCAGCTCCTGAACCGGGGGCCGTGCTGGCAAGCACGCGTCGGCGTCGGAATGAGTATGGAAACCGCCCCTAACTGTTGCCGAGGTTTGCTCGACAGGCTTCAGCACCATGTCTGCACAAACTCGAAGCCTGCTCTACATAACTCTGAATCCCTAGTAAATAGTTCATTTCTAATTCTACCACGTGGTCGTGCCGCCCGTGTAGGTATTCAATGGAGCACGCTGTTTGCATGAACGGGCGCAATCTATACTAGCCTTGAAATGTCAAAACTGCCGACAAAACAGGCAGTCGACTTGGCTTTGGCCATTTGGGCCGACCCTGAAGGCCCTGTCCTCGCGCCCACGTTTGCGTGCAATCTCCCGGTACTTGAGAGCCTTAGCGCATGCGGGCTTAAAGTCTGGCTGGATGCGGCGTACCATATATGACCGTAATGGCTTCATCGTCAACCAACTATCGAGCAAATTGGCCAGGACTTTCTTTTGAGGCTTTTGGGAAGGTGGAGGAGACATCCCCGAAAGCTGTGAAAGTTTGGGCACGTAGGCAGAAGCGGCACAAGCTCCGACCTGAAGCATCCAGGCCCGGAGCATTGGCGTTCTCTGGATCGATTTGCAGCCTCAGTGGTGCGCTGCAAGATTTCCACAGCCCATGTCTGCAGAACAACACCTGAGCCACGGAACGCGGCATCGAAGTCCCTGAGGGCCTTCAGGCAGCAGCACAGGCAACTAGGTTGCCTCCAACTCGGTACTCAGTTTTTGGTGCACCGCAGCATGACCTCTGACAGTTTGTGGAGGCTGCAAGCTCTTTCCTGCTCCCCTACCTCCAGCCGGCTACAGCAATACAAATCTTTCAGGTTGCAAACCTTCTGGCCTCGCGTGCGCGGCCGAGGTTTGTCAGCGCAGCGCCGCGTGCCACAAGGCCCTCCTCTGGACCGCAGAATTGAAATGGGACGGCTTTGCGGCAGTGGGTTGTCAACAAGTTAGGAAGGTCCTTGTGCGCGGGGCAAAGCTCCAGTGCAGCGTCGTACCTGGCAGGATGGAGACTGCGGAGACTCACTCCCACTCAACTAATGTACTTGGCCCGGGGTGTTACATCCATGTCTGGGGCTCGAATCATATTTCAGGGGGCTTCCCATGAGTCCAGTAGGAATGCCGGTAGATTCATCTTCCACGAAACTTCGAGCTGAGAAATGTCCTTGGTGTGTCGTGGGTCACGGACTTGAAACTTACCGTTGAAGCTCCGGGCTTCAAATTCAAAGTTTGTCACTGTCAGGTTCGCCAACGTCGGAGGCAGTGGATTTGGGATCTCTATTTGTCTGAGACATCTTGCAGCGACAGCATTCAGCTTGTTCCCGTTCCACCGGACTTTCGAAAGCATTCTGATGCAAGCGATGCCATGTCAAGCAACTCAGTTCTCTGCATGGAGATCAGTCTGAGCGTGTCTGTACAAAGGAAACCCTTGACTCCTTGGGTCGACGGGGGCCAGAATGATCCCCAACGTTGCAGGGTATCATTCGGAAAGATGCGGTTGACAGCCTTCTCACATCATAACATTGGATTTCCGGCCTGCTCGGCGACTTTGCAAAATCCATCTTCTACTACAGTGAGAATCTCATGTGGCAGGTGGGGCACAAAGCGAAACACGTGCGAGCCCGCTGGTACAACGGACTCTCTGCTGGCACAGGCACGGTCATCTGTGCGAGGAGCCCTGGCCTCGAAAAACATGCTCCCACCTTTTGCCGCTGGGGATGACTCCTGATCCCGGCTCAAGATGGAAGAAGCTTTGGCTCAAGCACCGGTCTGATCGCGTCTGGGACAGGGGATGCACTGCTCCCATTGCGGGCCTTGCAAATCGATATGGCTGCAGGGCCTACAAACAGCTGTTTCTCTGGCCAAACTCCGAAGCTGAAGTTTCCGCACGCCCACGCAGTCATCAACACACAGTGATTTTACGCATACACACACATATAGATAAGAGAACCCTGAACCTGAAACTCGAAGCCCAAACACGATTCCCCGGCCCCTGCGCTCCGAAAGTGCCCCGGCAGCCAGCAGCGCCGGCACAAGCTGACCGGTCCACAGCTTGTGCTGAACCTTCGCGCCACGAACGAGTGGCAGTGGCAGTCGTAGTTCGTTGTAGTATTAGTCGTGGTCTTTCTGGTGGTTGTGGATGGTTGAACTTGGGGGTTCAAGGCATTGACCAAGACCTCGGGCCCCTCTTCGATTTCTGCACAGCACAATTGTCGCACGCGCCTCGCTGAATCCACCCGCACATTTGCCGCTGATGAAAATCCTGGGTGGAGAAGGCTCTTGGTGCTTGGCGAGTTTCATTTCATGAGTTTTCAGCAAACCTTCACACTGCAGCCCCTTGGCTTTTGAAATGAGGCCTTCATCGCTGCTCCCTTGTGGCTCCTGGGCACGGATCCCGCACCCGTGGTGGCCTTGAAGTGGGCCTGTGGCGGCTGGCTTGAAGCAAACGTCTCTTCGGGGTGCAGCAGGGGACGACTTCTGTGGAGGGTATGCTCCTGAACTGCTCCTGAACCAGCATCAACATCAACTGACAAACTGAAGAATGGAGTGCAGGAGTTGGTAACTTGTGTAGCTGTCGTTGTCGTAGCCCAAACTAGCACAGCAGCGACTTTGAATCACCGGCCGGATCACACAAATCAATATGGAATTGCAAAAAGCGCTAGTCATGATGCGAGCAAAACAAACACGTTACAACCCTAAACCTGTAAACTCAAGCGGTATACCGCAAGAGCTGGTTGCAGGCTTTTGCTCCTCATCGCGAAGCTTGTGGTTAGTGTCTTTGCTCCAGCTGCTGTACATGCCACAGGAGCGACTGGGCAAGGAACCTCACAAAATTTCTAGTTAGCAACGGCACCAGTCGGCATCATTGAATCGAAGCATCCAGTATTTGCTGAAGCGGAACTGCAGAATTTTGGAGGTTCCCAGTATGTCTCCGTCATTCCCACTTGAAGGTCGAGCCTCCAGCGAGGAGACGGTCAGATCTGTAAAGGAATTGTATCTGCCGTTTGGGTCGACAAGTTTGGATGGACAATGATAACTGATAAGGGAGTGCGGAGATGAAACTGTGCGCCAACCGAAACTGCACAAGCATGCAATACAGTCTATCGAATTGCCCCACTGGCGTTGTCTTCTGCAGCGAGCCGAACTGCGTTTCAATGGTTCCGTTTTGCATTATGTACTCGCTTGCCGCTTGCCTGCCAAGTTTGAGAACAGAGCAAGCCAGTGGGAGGGCACCTTCACAGGTAGAAAACCACCGTCACCCTCAACGGTGTATGGGTTGGGTTGCTGCGGCGAGGGCCGGTTGCAACCCTCGCGAGCATCAAAGTGCCTTTTCTGGGCACCTCAAGGCGCTTTGCCAGCTTTCAGGATTGTGGTGACCCTTGATGGTGCTCCCAGCACACACATGCTGACTGACTATGTGTTGAATACGGCTGTCCTGCAAAGAGATCTAGGACGGCTGGGGTCACATCGAAGAGAAATCCAATTAAATCAGCGGCCTTACCATCACTGCGGTTTCAGCAGTGACGCCATGAGCCACATGCCGCTCCGGTTTGTCCCTCCGAGAGGAAGCAAGGAACGTGCGGCATGCCGGGTGGGGTCCTCCGTCCATTTACGACTGAACCTACGAATACCCTCCAGAACTTGTCAGGATTGCGGAGATCGGAGATCCCTGGACGTGTCTTCCCAACGTGAGCAAGTCCCAACGTGAGCAAGCTCAAAGCAAAGGAGGCGGTTCCTCATGCCGATCTCATCGCTTGCTGATGAGGCTTCGAGGACACGATGGGGCAGTGTTTGCTAGGAGAGTCGGATGTGAAAGTACAATCCCTGAGGCAGGAGCACATCTTGACGAGATGTACATTATCTCACGTGCTATTGGAACAACTCAAGCCCTGAAACCTTCGGGCATGACCGCTTATTAGGAATGAGTGGTCGATTGCACCGGAACCCGCAGCTCCAGGCACCGTCATTCCCGTTCGATAAGGTGAGAAGAGGTGCAGGCAAACTACAACAAAAGCACCCCCTTTCGCATGCTAGATATGTCCCTTCATTATGGTCTCTCTTCTTCTTGTTGGCCCTCTCGTCACCTGGATCGGAGTCACTTAGGACTCCGTGAGGGACGGCCCTCGGCACGAAATGCTTCGTCCGGCCAGCCGCCGTCGACAAACTCCATCACGGCTTCCAAAGCAGTTGGGAACTCATCCAAACGAATCGTATGATGATGATTCTGACAAGGATGATGATCACTATCATCATGCTGGTTGTTACTCTCGCTGTCTCATTGTTCTTCATCATTCTGGTCACCAACCCTGCGCGAGCACTGTTTATCCCGAACGCAATCGGATCTGAAACTTTCAGACTTACAGCAAGCGCATCACTCACGCCAATTGGCAAAAGTTGCTTGAGATGCAGCCCCAAAACAAGGCAGCCGTGAGGGTAGCATGTTTTCAAACAATCATTGTTGCAAATGCCTCCGGCAAACGCGGGAATGACGCGCGGTCGTTGCACCGGTATTACGTTCATATCCCTGTCAACATTCAACTTGCAGATTGCTTTTCGGAATTTCGCTCTTGTCATCCGCCCTGTATAAGCATGCGTTCAGTTCTCCATGCCGGTACACGGGGTCTTCTTTCCCGTGGCTCAGCACGCCGGCATCGTCACAACAGACTCCATGGAGCATGCCCGAGCCACACCAAAAGTGGAGCCTCGGGAGCTGAATAAATCCAAGCACTCAGCCAACGAAGAGTCCCCTGAATGAGGTGTGTATATACGGATATAATATAATATAATATTATATTACATTGTATTATATTAATATTAATAATAATAATACTACTACTACTAATAATAATAATAATAATATAATACTTATGTGAGGTATCCTCACGTCTTGTGTCGGACAACCCCAACTCCCCTTGCACGGCGTTGTTGAGATAGAATGAGCCAAGCGGCACTGGCTGGCTCTGCGCTTTGCGGTCACATGCCTGCACAGCAAAGGCGCGATTGCGAGCAGGAAGCTTGACATGCTCGCAGCCCCAGCCCAAACTGAGAACACTCGGCACTCTGGACTGGGGCCCCGACCCAAAACTACGACAGGAGCGGATCTTGTGGGAGACCGGGTGGGTTCCTTCGGCCATGGCCTGGCATCGGAACTCGCTGCAGCCTTGCATCCCGTAACCTTGCTTCATCTGACTGTCCCTCAACCGGGCAAGGCCAGCCAGCAGCATCTTTGCCAGCAGAGTCGATTGTGTGGGGTCGGCAGGCTCCTCGACAGCAGATATGTTTTGCAGTGTCTCCACTACCAGAAGATCACGAAACTTCAGCTCTGCATGCCATGGCACATTGACCTCTTGCTTGCTTGGCACCAGAATCTTCACTTCCTCCTTTAGCCAGCAGTGGCTTCGAATGTCTGCCTCCGGATTCAATTTTTGTCCATCAAGACAGGGGGCCCTTCAAGACCGAACCCTCACGCGTTGCGCAGCACGGAGTGTCAATTTTTAAGTCCTAGCCTAGATGTCCGACCTATGAGAGCTGTGGGGTAACTGACGCAATCACTTGTCAAAGTCAACAGATCCAAGCGCCGACGGCTTCACACGCAATCTTGCTTTCTGCTACATGGCCTTCCTGCAAACTCCGCCAGGTTGCCATGGAAGCTCGAGCTTCACGATCTATGACCAGCATCTTGGATATGACGTCCTCATCAGCTGAGGCTTCTGAAAACTGTGTCTTCAAACTACTCGTAGGAAATCCTCCACCCCCACACCCAGCAGTCCTTAGCCTCCGCTGAGACATAGCCAGGCATACCTGCAAACGTAAGCAGTGTCAGTACGGGTACAACGGATGGGACCTTGAAATGGGTTGTACATCGTCCGCAACAAGCCCGTTAGGCTCGGATGCTGGAGCGATGCTCATAGCACCATCCCGGGATGCAGTGCAGTGATGCTAAACCATGCTAAATCACAGCAGCCAAGTGTCGATAGGTACCTGACTTGATGAGCTT